ATATATATATGTTCGATTTCACACTGTATTCTGCGGTAGCTGGACCTTAGAGAGTAGTCTGTTCACTCGGTAGGCATGTATCATGATAAGGAGTCAACTGTGTTTACTTCAAAATAAATTTAAGGATCAGACATTTTTTCAATAAAACAACTACTCGAAAGTGGAACCTGCAAGGTGCACGCGGGAACACCCCATTTGCCTTCTTCTGTATATTTAGCCAGTGCCGAAGTATACTGTGATCTGCTACAGTGTGCTCCACGTTCATGCCACTAGAAGCAACTTGTTTGCTTGTCTGTGTGAACAATCCGCGGTACGTTTCGTATCCACACTCATGTCATCTCATTATAGCACTGCGTGCTATCCTCGTGGCCAAGCCCTTTTCCCAACGGAACCCTCTTGAGTACGGATGTACTTGCTCACAGATACCTTGACATGCGTACGCTTGTAAACAAATATACCATTTCACAGCAACTACTACATATCCAAGTGCACACAAACTTTCATTCCCATTGGACTTTCTCATACGTACACCAGTGCCGTCGCCTTCTCTCAACAGCCCTGTATCTGGTGCGCAATGCGCCAAGGTGACCATCACGAAACTCTAAACCGTGATGGGCAAGGATCTAATATGTGTAGTCCATCAGCTAAAGCACTCCTACAAGTATCACAAGTACCGTCATCAGTGTACGGGCCAACCGCTCAACACACTATTGCATCCCCTATGACTTTAAACCCTAAACTCCAAACCTCCCCAGGGCCCAAGCACTCTCCCAACAACCCTGTGGATAGCGCACAATGCGCGAAGGTGGCCATCACTGAGCTCTATATAGTGATGGGCAAAGATCTGATGAGTGTGGACTGTGTCACCGCGGGTAATATCTGCGGCGTGGGTGGTTTGGCTAAGCATGTCTACAAGAATGCGACCTTGGCGTCGTCTCCGTTAGCCCCTGCGCTGTTCTCAATGAATTCGAATGAGGCGCCGATTGTGCGTGTGGCGGTGGAGGCGTTCAAGGTAAGTTACATGGGGGTTGAGGTAGGCTACGGGTCTATAGGTTACGGGTGGGTTGGTATAGCACATGTATGCGTATATATATATATACATATATATATGTATA